AGAAATTAATGATAGAGATGTGGGACAGAGGACTGGCAACCACGGGATACTCAATGTGATCGGTGAATTTGCAATCTCAAATCAACCCGGGTACTATTTTACCTCAACCTTGGACAGATTGATTTTTCATCAATATTGATTCAGGCTCATCTTAAACATCATCATTCAACCCAAGAAGTTTTAGGAGTTCCAGATGCCGATCCAAAAATCGAGCACATCTGCCGCCGTTCCCCAATTTACATAGGTACTATCGAACTTGCATCTTCTGTGTGATCTATCTCCTCAGCGATCTATTTAAGATTTTCTCGATTTTTGATTTGTCTGGACTTTTGAGTGATGAATTACTAGGTAATCATTTCCCTATTTAATGAACTGTTCGGTGTTCGTTGAACGTACATGTTGCAACCTATTTAATAAATTACCTATTATTAATCTATTATCTTATTAAAGTAATAAAAAAACAAGCCTCCACGTTTACTCTTACGGCCTAGAAATTCTCACATTAATCGGAAAAAAAGAAAAATAAAGTCCATATAGGAATACAAATAGCTGTAATTCGGAATTAGAAATAAGAGATATTGAAACAGAAGACTAGAGTCAAACAAATATACAATTTAGAATTAATTAAAATTCGAAATTAAAAAATAGGAAATCTAAAATTATAAGTTAGAGTCCATATCGGTTTCCTTCGTCAGTAAGAAAAAAAAGTGCGAAAAGAAAAATCCAATTCACCGTCCTAAGGAAACGGCGAGAAAAAAAAAAGCCGTCCAAAAAATGGCATCTGTAAAAAAAAAAACCCATAAAAAAAGGTAAAAAAAAAGCCAAAACGGTCAGCAAGAAAAAACAGAAAAAAAAACCTGATCTATCTATCTTTTATATTATTAAAGGAATAGAAAAAAGAGCCTCCATGTTTGCTCTCATGGCCTAGAAATTCTCACATTAATCGGAGAAAAAGAAAAAGCGGAGTCCATATATAAATACAATTTAGAAATAGCTGAAATTCGGAATTAAAGAATAAGGAATATTAGAAGAGGAGACTAGAGTGCATATATAAATACAATTTAAAAATAGTTGAAATTCGAAATTAAAAAATAAGGAATATTATAAAGGGAGACTAGAGTCCATATAGAAATACGGTTAGGAAATATCTGAAATTCGGAATTAGAAATAAGGAATATTAGAAGTAGATTATAGAGTCCATATAGAAATACAATTAGGAAATAACTGAAATTCGGAATTAAAAATAAGGAATATTAGAAGTAGAGTATAGAGTCCATATAGAAATACACTTAGAAAATGATTGAAATTTGGAATTAAAAATAAGGAATATTAGAAGTAGAGTATAAAGTCCATATAGAAATACAATTAAGAAAAAAAAGAAATTCGGAATTAAAAAAATAAGAAATATTAGAAGTAGAGTATAGAGTGCATATAGGAATTTAAAACTAACTAAAATTTGAAATAAACATAATAAAATTAAAAGTAGAATTTACAGTCCGTATAAAAATACAATTTACAAATAACTAAAATTCGAAATTAAGAAAAACATGGGAAGAAGAGCTTAAAGTCAATATAGGAATACAATTTAGAAGTAACTGAAATTCAAAACTAAAAATTAAAGAATATTGAAAGATAAGTTTAGAGTCCACATAGAAATACAATTAGAAATAATAAAAATTCAGAAATAAAAAAAAATAGTATTGGAAGAAGAGCATAGAGTCTATATAGAAATACAATTTATAGAAAATTCGGAATTAAAAAAAAAAGAAATATTAAAAGACGAGTCTAGAGTCTATATAGGATTATATATATAATTTAAATAAGGAATATTAGAAGTAGAGTATAGAGTCCATATAGAAATACAATTAGGAAGTAATAGAAATTTGGAATTAAAAATGAGGAATATTAGAAGTAGAGTATAGAGTCCATATAGAAATACAATTAAGAAAAAAAAATAGAAATTCAGAATTAAAAAAATAAGGAATATTAGAAGTAGAGTATAGAGTCCATATAGGAATTTAAAACTAACTAAAATTTGGAATAAACATAATAAAATTAAAAGTAGAGTTTAGAGTCCGTATAAAAATACAATTTACAAATAACAAAAATTCGAAATTAAGAAAAACATGGGAAGAAGAGTTTAAAATCAATATAGGAATACAATTTAGAAGTAATTGAAATTCGAATTTTAAAATTAAAGAATATTGAAAGATGAGTTTAGAGTCCACATAGAAATACAATTAGAAATAATAAAAATTCAGAAATAAAAATAAATAATATTAGAAGAAGAGCATAGAGTCTATATAGAAATACATTTTACTGAAAATTCAGAATTAAAAAAAAAGAAATATTAAAAGACGAGTGTAGAGTCCATATAGGAATATATATAATTTACAAATAACTAAAATTTGATATTAAAAATAATTAATAACTAACACGTATATAAAATACAATATGAATATTACACATTAGCAGCTTTATAAAGTTATTGCAAAATTTAAAATTATGTTTTCATTTTAATATATTTGAATAATATAATGAGAAAACATATATGCTATTATATGAGAGAAAATATAATGATTCTAGCCGTGCAATCTGCGCGGGCCACCATGCTAGTTTTGACTGAAATGAAGAAATAGCTGTTGATCTTTAACATATTGATGAGCTGTGCTAATAATCCGGTAATCAGGTCAGTCGACAGATCATAGACCCTTATCTATGACTTTTCTCTAAATCTAAATACAAACTAGCAAATATAATATTTAATTAATTTTCCATATTCCAGTCTGTATGTTCGTATGCACATCATATAGTCTGCAGCTTATTTCCTTTTACCAATGAAATGGTTCAAGACGTTGACAATGCGAAGGAAGCGTCCAAAGTCAAGGTCAGGATAATCAGAATTTGGGATGTTGGGATAAATGCCAACAGACATGATACATATTAATAAAAGGTCGGTATAAATATTCCCCTTGCAAATAATGTTGGTATTTATGGGTATTCCCAGAGAGCTCTCACATTTACTATAAACGTTAACTAAAAGATCTGTACGTAGTTTATTAGGTCGATCGTATTACCATGACCATTGATCAATCAATAATTGGTGTTAAAACCAGGATTTATTGCGCACTTCTGGGACACTTGCACATTAGATAGAAAGATCTTACCACCGTTGATTAGGTGGTTTGCATTGCTATGATATTCGATCTATTAGAATTCGTTACTCGTGGAGAAATTGTCTTTACTCTCGGTTTGTAAGCCCCCTATAGTCCCAGTTTTCTAACCGGGACTACGAATCCGGGACTAAAGATAGCGATCTTTAGTCCCGGGCGATTTACTCCCGGTTTGTAAGCCCCCTATAGTCCCGGTTTCCTAACCGGGACTACGAATCCGGGACTAAAGATAGCGATCTTTAATCCCGGGCGAAATAACCGGGAGTAAAGATCTATCTTTAGACTAAAGAGAGGGATCTTAATTTAGTCCCGGTCGGTGTTGGATAGGGACAATCCCGGATGGTCCCTTTTCTTTTTTGTTACTTTTTTATTTTCTCCCGAATCGGATGGCATGCACATCCCAAATCAATCCCCAAATAAAGTAACATCTCAAATCCACATCACAAATCCCAAATCCACATCACAAATCTTAAAGTTACTTATGCACACAAATCTAAAACATCACAAATCCTAAAAAATTTACACACAAATCAAATACATCACAGATTATATGTCTCAAATCCATACAATGAATCACAAAATTACATCTCAATGAATCACAAAATATCAAAAAAAAAAAAGAGACGGCCGTCTGCGCCGCACGCCTGTGCGTCCGTCTGTCCTCCGTGTCCGCGCGGCGCGGCCTCATCCGTCTCCAAGGGAGGGAGGAGGAAGGGAAGGGGAAGGAAGGAGTAGCGGCCTCATCCGTCTCCAGGGGAGGGAGGAGGAAGGGAAGGGGAAGGAAGGAGGAGCGGCCTCATCCGTCTCCAGGGGAGGGAGGAGGAAGGGAAGGGGGAATGAAGGAGGAAGGGGAGGGGGAGAAGAGAGGAGGATCGATCTGTGGGTGAGGAAGTGGTTGTGATCCTGGAGGAGAGGATAAGGATTAGGGATTATATACTATGTTGAAATCTTTACTCCCGGTTGGTACTACCAACTGGGACTAAAGTGGTAATCTTTAGTCCCGGTTGGTAGTATCAACCGGGACTAAAGATTCTTGGCCCCCCAACATGTCTCTGACAGGGGATGAACCGGGACTAAAGATCAAAATTTTTTTAACCGGGACTAAAAATCGTTTTTAATCCCGGTTTTTAATAAAACCGGAACTATTGTGGAATTTGATTGACCGACCAAAGATGGTTTCTCCACCAGTGCGTGTAAATTAAACTATGGCACAAAAAGTAACAGGGGCTCTTTAGTTTTATTTTTTCAAAATTAATAACTGAAATCAGACATCATAGAAACAGAGTTTCACCTTTCTTGACTCTCAATTTAGAAATTTGTTAATTTAATTGCATTTTTAAATTCATAATTAGCAAGTTGTAACTTATGTGAACTCCAAACCATGTACAAATAAAATGTATTATTTACTATTTTCATAATTATTAAATCATAAAGTTATAATTGGGACTTCAAAAAGTATTATTTCTAAATTTATAAATGATGAAATCATGAACAATCTATAACCGTGGCTCTAGGCTGAGCACAATTTCATATTTTATTTACGAATTTTGAAATTATGAAATCATAAGTTTCTTTACAATTGAAAGTATAAAGCATGTATAATTATGTACTTTTCAAGACTCCAACTTGAAAACGTATAACTTTCAACAAAATTTGATTACCAACATATTCATGACATGATTACATTTTTAATATTTATATTGTTAATAACTATAGCCCGTGCAACGCCACGTGTTAGCGACTAGTATTATTGATTAGTCACCCATCAAACATCAACAACAGTAGTAGTATATAAAGAGATGCATGGCAAATGCAAATCTCGCACATTCAAGCAACACCATAGCTAGCGGCCATGGCACAAGGAGTGATGCTGTGGTATGACCTCCATGCTCTGGCTGCAGCCGTGGGGCCACTGCTACTAGTTTCTTCTGTGCTGGTGGCTACGTCGTCGACGGCGGCGAACTGCGGCAGGAAGTGTGGCGACGTTCGCATCCCCTACCCGTTCGGCATCGGCGTCGACTGCGCCTGGCCGGGCTTCCACGTCTCTTGCAACCATAGCTTTACCCCTCCCAGACCCTACTTGTACAACATAGAGATCAAGGACATCTCGGTGGAGGCAGGGGAGATGCGCGTGTACACTGACGTCGTGTCCAACTGCTATACTTCGTACAATACCACCGAATACGTAACGACCTCCTCGCAGGTCGACCTCGGTACGCCGTTCCTGTTTGCGCGGAGCAGGAACGAGTTCACGGCCATCGGCTGTGGCGCGATTGCGTTTCTACGGGGCAGGGACGATGCGAGCTACTCGACCGGCTGCATCACGACGTGCGCGAGCTTGGAGGAGGCCGCCCACGACGGTGACGACTGCACGGGGCTGGGTTGCTGCCAGGTGCCCTCCATCCCACCCAACCTTAGCGTCTTAAACTTTTCCTTCGGCTCCGGAAGCATGATCGGCAACCCTGCTTGGAGAGAGAGCCCGTGTAGCTACGCATTCGTGTCCGAGAAAGGCTGGTACGTACCAACTAATGCGTGCCCACTGTACGTCTGTACAGCTGCGCAGCTAGCTCTTTCTCCCTCATTCCTTAAATGTTTAACGCCATTGACTTTTTTAAACATTTTTAACCGTCCGTCTTATTTAAAGCTTTTGTGAAATATGTAATATATATATATACATAAAAGTATATTTATCAATGAATCAAATGATAGGAAAAGAATTAATAATTGCTTAAATTTTTTTTTAATAAGACGAACGGTCAAACAAATTTAAAAAAGTCAACGACGTCAAACATTTAGGGATGGAGGGAGTAATAAAAATGCAATTACAAACTACTCTCTCTCTCTCTTCCGACATGGACTGGTGCCGTGTTTAGTTTCAAAGTTTTTCTTCAAACTTTCAACTTTTCCATCACATCAAAACTTTCCTACATATACAAACTTCTAACTTTTCCGTCACATCGTTCCAATTTCAACCAAAATTTTAATTTTAACGTGAACTAAACGCAGCCTGGGTTAATTATATTTTACTGATGCATTATATATATGTACATGATTTAGGTACAATTTCAGCCGGCAAGATTTCGGTCGTGCTGGCAGCAAGGGCTTATTTGTCGAGAGTGATGGAGCCAAAAGTGTCCCAACTGTACTTGACTGGGCCATCAGGGGAAATGGGTCGTGCCCGTCAACTGCAGGAGAGGTTGCTCCTGCTTGTATCAGCGCACATAGTGAGTGCGCCAACGTCACCAACGGAGAGGGGTACCTCTGCAATTGTTCCACGGGATACGCCGGCAATCCCTATGTCATCGGCGGATGCATAAGTAAGTTCTTAATTTAGGCCCCCTTGAATCGCAGGAATAGAAAAACGCAGGAATAGGAAAAACTTCTGACAGGAATGCAGGTGTAAAACAAAGGATTGAAAATTTAGGAAAAACACAGAAATAACCGTTTGATTGGACCATAGGAAAAACGGAGGAATCGGATGAAAGAGATAGACTCAAAGGAATTTTTTCAAAAGGTTGGACCTCTTGCTAACTTTCCTCTAAAATCTCTATAGGATTAGTCATTCCATAGGAATTTTAAAGGATAGTATAGGATTCAATCCTTCGTTTCAAATGCTTTCATAGGAATTTTTTCCATAGAATTAAAATCCTTTAAATTTCCTACACTTTTCCAACAAATCAAAGGGACCCTTATTTTTACCATTATAATTTGAGTAAACTGTATTCACGGTACATCAACTTGGCAAGTTGGTGTGATTTAGTGTAGAAACTTGAGAAATGAGCTTGTTAGGACAACAACTTGCTAAGTAGGTGCAACCTAGTACAAAAATTTAATAAATAAGCTTAGGGGTACAACAAAGGTGGTTGTAATATTTTAGTACAATAACTTGAGAAGTGGTGTAAAAACTTAATTATTTTGAGTATTTTTGGCTATATGTACTCAGTTTTTATGTACTCAGTTGTTAATATACTTACGTAGATTTGTACAAGCATATTTTTTTTAACTCTGGTAACTAAAAGTCAAACAAATTTTACAGTGTAGAAATTTTTTAGTTGGTATTTGATATGGTGAAAAAAATATCTAAATGGATGCTGCAAATTAGGTGAGCTATATTTTCTTACATATTACATCAAACATTGTAAGATTATATCTACGAGATTGCTATGTGATGATATATTAACATAGTGAACTTTCATAGCACTCATTAACCAAAATAGTACATATCTAGCCAAGTTATTGCACCAAAATACTAAATTATGAAATTCTTGTATTAAAGTACACTCACTTACCAAGTTATTGCACTTAGACATCACATTCTCAAGTTCTTATACTAAATCGCGCCCACTAGTCAACTTGTACCATAGGTGTAATTTACTCTTATAATTTCGTCCCACCTAGCTAGTCGATGGCAATACTAATCTATATATTACTTCTTATAAACTTTGCAAATATCTTCACAAGGTTTACTGTTAATACATATACGTATACACACACATATATAGACACACATATTATGGTGCTAATTAAGTCCTTTCTTTTTGGCAGTTTCTCCAATTTTCATTTACAAAGATACACAATTATCTCTCTGATCACCGCGTGAATATATAATACTCACTGTTTTTTATTGTGTGACACTTGTCACTTTTGAATTATCATACGTCTTATTCGAAAGAGTTGCATACTTATCATTTATTTAATTGCATTTTTTATTAGCAAACTAATTTAAGCATGAATTGGTTTTTAATATTTGGACAAACTTCTTTTATTAAGTCGAATGATCAATGTATGTTAAAATATCAACGACATCCAGCATTAGAAAATGGAGCGAGTATAATATAGCTTGTATTTTTTTCGGGGAATAATATAGCTTGTATTAATGATCACTCTATATTTTTTTCTCTTCACGTACAGATATTAACGAATGCAAGCAAAATCCATGCCGTGATGGGACATGTTATGACCTCGAAGGTGGTTACAAGTGTAAATGCGGTTTCAATCGAGTAAAAGATAAAAACGATGACAATATTTGTAAACAAATACTCTCCAAATCGGATATAGTGGTGATCGGTAAGGCACATACTCTTCTTACATACATATTGATATATATTTTTTTAAAAAAACGCTTTTACATATAGCAATTTGTAAGTCATGCATATGGTTTGTAAATTCTTAACTAAATAAAATAATAATTAATCACACAACATTTGATTTCAGCAATAATATGTGCCGTCGCAATTTTGTCCATCGTACTCATTTTCTTGCGCATGGAACATGAGAAGAAGAAGCTTGAAGATACTTTCAAAAAAAATGGTGGTGAACTTCTGAAAAACATTGGTATAAAGACATTCACGAAGAAGGAAATAAGCAAAATCACAGATCGCTATGGCACTTTCCTTGGAAACGGTGCCTTCGGTAAGGTCTATAGGGGAACTATTGACAACAACCAACATGTTGCAGTGAAGCGCCCCAATACGTTTGATGAGGTACGTAGAGAAGATTTTGCAAATGAGGTCGTCATTCAATCTTATATCAGTCACAAGAACATAGTTAGACTTGTGGGCTGTTGTTTGGAGACAAAGATTCCGATGCTGGTCTTCGAGTACGTCCCAAAAGGAAGCCTTCAAGATGTGCTTCATGGTAACAAGAAGATCAATATTGAAAAGCAACCTCTCTCACTACAAGCACGTTTAGCAATTGCTATTGAATCTGCAGATGCTCTAGCCTACATGCACTCATCGGCTAATCAAAATATTGTCCTTCATGGAGATGTGAAGTCTGGCAACATTCTCCTAGATAACAACTTCATGCCAAAGGTCTCGGACTTTGGAATATCTAGACTCATATCTATACAGAAACACCACACTTCATTTGTCATAGGGGATATGAACTATATGGATCCTGTTTATATGAAGACTGGAATGCTTACTGAGAAGAGTGATGTGTATAGCTTTGGAGTTGTACTCTTGGAACTAATTACCAGGAAAAAACCAAGATATGATGAAAATAACAGCCTCCCAATAAACTTTGTGAAGTATTACATGACTGATAGCAGGGCAAGGGAGATGTTCGATGATGAGATCAAGTCTCCTGAAGTCAACATTGACTGTCTTGACATGATTGGTAAGATTGCAGTTCAATCCCTCAAGGATGATGTGGAAGAGAGGCCCACCATGAAGCAAGTTTTGGAGCACCTTAATTTGGTGAGAAACAAATTAATGGATACAGAGATAAGCATATAAGAGTTGTTATCACGTTTATGATCAGAATTTCCTCCTACGACGCCTCAGTTTGCCTTGTTCAATCTGTGAAGCTACAGCATGATCTATGTTGCCTTCCTGTGAATGTGATTGTGTGTAATGTTAATTTGTTATATATTCTGGTATACTCTGTATTGTACAATAGAATAAAGTTGCAATGTAAGATTTATGGTATCTTAGGTTAGAGTGTTGTGGTTGTGCTTTTCGCCCAGTTTCTCTTAATTAACTGTGTATTGTAAGGTTTGGTCTCTTTTTTCCTTAAAATCAGACATTTTCTTCTTTATATAAAGCGTTGGCAACGGCCTGATGGGTTTCAAAAAAAATATTTATGCAACTAGTTGCGTTGTTTAAGGCTTGACATAATAATGACATTTAAGGTTTTGCTTCCAACATGTTTGAAGTCTAAACTTTGTAAGCTATATTAAATTGAACTGGATCTTTTTTATAGGAATTGAACTAAATCTTTCTTTTTTTTATAAGAAAGCTTTGATCCTTATGTCACGCTCTATGTCAAGATAGCACGGCTCGCAAGGAAATTGAGTTCCTGGGGCTAGAAGAGAATCAATCATTACAGGGAGGGGACTACTAATCGAGCGCCCGATCCAGACGTGCAAAAAATCGGGCGCTGATGTCAGCATGACGTCAGCGCCGCGCATGCGTGCAAAACCACTTTAAACTAAATTTTCTTTTAAATTATTAATCCAAATCATGATCCAATTGCACCACTAATTAAATTCGTTACAATTAAATCTTCAAAACAAGACCACACATAGATATATTCCGATTAAATTTTTTTAGCTTATTATTGAATTATTTTTAAATGTTGCATGATGTTCCACCAAGTATATCGGAATTGTTTCTCTAAATAGATTGAAAATGTTTCAATCGTTTAAATCGAACGTTGTTTCACCTTATATAAAAACAATGTTTCAGCAAATAGCTAAAGAATATTTCAGTTAACATTTTGAATATACTAGGTGAAATATTTTTTGTGGAACAAAAAATGAAACGAACTCCTTTAATAGAGGGTTTCCAAAATATGTGGGTGATTTGTTGCAAAAGAATGTTTCGTTTATTTCAACATTAGATCTATATATAGTGAAACATTTTTTGTGGAACAAAAGATGAAACGAATACTCTTAATAGATGCTTTCTAAAATATGTAGGTTGTTTCAAAATAATGTTTCAATTCACTGCAACATTAAGTCTATACATTGTGAAACATTAACATTGTGAGTACAGCCTTCAGCTTCGGATTGCAAATGAGTTGATTTTCACGTTGGATGTGGCACAGGAATTGCGAATTTTGTATAGAGTGGCGTTTCAGAGCAGTTTTGAAGGGGCGGGTGCTGGCACCAGCATCCCTCGATAGAATATGAGTGCGCCAGAGAGTTCGTATCACCCAACTCCGACAAGGTGATGCCAATATATACCAAATACTTTCACATGAAGGTGAATGCACGCCGCCGCCGCAAACTTTTCATCCCGTCACTGGAACATGAGGGACAGATAGCCACGATACAAGAGGACAAGCTAGTTATGGCCAAAAACTATTTTGAAAGCATTATGGGAAGGGCGGAGCAGGACACGGCGCAGGTCCTACCACCTCCGGTGGAGCTGTAATATAGCTTGAGATCCTGTTCTCTGAGGAGTTGTGGTGTCGAAGGTGATCAAGGGGATGCCCAACGAGAAGGCGCCAGGTCCTGATGGCTAACATGGGCATGTTCTTCCAATAGAGGAATTGGCTCTCACAATCAAAGATGGTGCAACGGCAGCATTGGCAAAGCTAATTCATAGTGGCCCATTAGCTTGATACAAGCTAGCTGCCAGCACAAATAATGGCGACAAATCAAACGGCTTTCATTCGAAGTAGATCAATCCAGAGCATGCATCTTGGGGTTGCTGACTCCGGCGAGCGCGCCGCGTTGAGGATCAGGTTCTGGATCTTGGCGGCGACTTGCAGCTGGCCGGAGCGAAGAGGGGGATGGGGGCCGCATGAGCAGTGAACTGCGTCAGGAAGTGTGGCGACGTGCGCATCCCCTACCCGTCCGGCATCGGCGTCGACTGCGCCTGGCCGGGCTTCCACGTCTCTTGCAACCATAGCTTTACCCTCCGGCCAGGCCGTACTCGGGGGACGTAGAGATCAAGGACATCTCGCTGGAGGCAGGGGATCAGCAAGAGCTTCGTCAACCGTACTGGAGATACAAGTGTCCCAACAGTGCTTGACTGGGCCATCAGGGGAAATGGATCGTGCTCATCACCAACAGGGGCTCCTGCCTGTGTCAGCGCCCATAGCTACTGTGTAAACGCTACCAACGGCGAGGGGTACCTCTGCAACTGTTCCGAAGGGTACGCCGGCAATCCCTATGTTAGTTCTCTTAAGTTTTCTTCTTCAGCATGGGCTATTAGTTCTTACATTAACTAGCTGTGGTGGATTATATACTACCTCCATATTTTAATGTATGACGCCGTTGATTTTTTGTCCAACGTTTGACCATTTGTCTTATTCAAAAAATTTATGTAATTATTATTTATTTTATTATGACTTGATTCGTCATCAAATGTTTTTTTGAGCATGACATTTATATTTTCATATTTACACAAAAATTTTGAATGAAACAATTGGTCAAACGTTGGTGCAAAAGTCAACGGCGTCATACATTAAAATATGGAGGGAGTATTTGTTTATTATTTATTTCAATCACTATATGATGTGTGTGTGCGCGCGCGCGCGTGCAGATATTAATGAGTGCGAGCTTAGAAGAGCGGAGCCTGCCAAGTACAAGGAAGTCTACCCTTGTTACGCTCATAGCACATGTCATGATACGGACGGTGATTACGACTGCAAATGTCACTTTGGATGAAGAGGTGATGGCAAACTTAGTGATGATGGATGCCGCTCCATAATACGCGCACCTTATGTTGCCACCCTAGGTGAGCCGAGGGTTGATTAATTAGGTTATATTCTTGCTGATTATTAATCCGTACTACTACTTCCTATATATACTGATATGAATAAAAAAGCTAGCTGTTGAATAGTCCCACATTGGTTGTGGAAGGGCAAATGACCTAAGATATAAGTGGGGAGCCCCTCACCTCAATGGTTAGCTTTTGGGGTGGGAAAGGCCCTTTACGATCCTACAAGTGGTATCAGAGCCTCGTTTTCTTCTTTGGATTTTTATCGATCTAAAGTTTTTGCCATGGCTACTCCCGCTAGGTTTTCAACTAAGCCTCATATTTTCGATGGAACTGATTTTCCTCATTGGTGTAGTAAGATGCAATCTTACATTATGGCTGAAAATTATGATATTTGGAGGAAAGTTTCTCATCCTTATGTGATTCCTGAAGCTATTAATACTGATGCTTTAAAAACTGAATTTGAAAACAATTGCAAAGCTCGTAATATTCTTTTGAGTGGGATTTCTCGTTCTGATTATGATCGTGTTGCACATCTTGAAACTGCTCATGAGATTTGGAATGCTTTGAAAAACTTTCATCAAGGAACAAATAATATTAAAGAGCTTCGTCGAGATCTTTTTAAAAAGGAGTACATTAAATTTGAGATGAAATCTGGAGAGGCTTTGGATGACTATCTTTCTAGATTTAATAAAATTTTGAATGATCTTAGATCTGTTGATTCTTCTTATGATGCTAATTATCCACAATCTGAGATTTCTCGTCACTTTTTGAATGGTCTCGACATGTCTATTTGAGAGATGAAAGTTACATCTATTCAGGAGCCTGTTAACATGTCTACTTTGACTTTGGATTCACTTTATACCAAATTGAAAACACATGAGATGAATATTCTTTCTCGCAAAGTTGATTCTAAATCGAGTGCTTTGGTTTCTTTTTCTTCTTCTTTGGTTGTTGATGCTTCTTCTTCTATGCCTTCTTTTCTTGCTGCTTTTAATGCCACATCCGATGATCAACTCGAACAAATCGAGGAGGAGGATTTGGCTTTGATTGCTAACCGAATTGCTCGAGCTATGAATAATGCCAGGAACAGGAAAAGAGGTGGTCCAAATCGTTGCTTTGAATGTGGTTCAATTGATCATCTTCGTTCGCATTGTCCTAAGCTTGGGAGAGGCAGAAGAGAAGACAAAGATGGTGAGAAGACCAACAATAACAAGCCCAACAACTACAACATGTCAAAGGGTTCTAACCAATGAAGGAAGATGGAGAATCTTAGGAAGGCTTTTCAACAAGTTTGCGCCGCTTTCGAGCCACTAAGTGATGTAGATGGTGAAAGTGGAGATGATGATAAGGGAAAGAATGTCTCCGATGTTTGCTTCATGGCGCGTGGTGAATCTGACACAGAGTATGAAGATAATGAGGTGAGTGCTTTTGAGGAAGCTATTAATATTTTGAGTGCTAAAAATAGAAAGTGTGAGAAGATGTATAAAAAACAGGAATTTATCATTGAATCTCTTAAATCTGAAATTGATAGGTTAAAATCTCTTATTCCTAATGATAATGATGGTGAAAATTGTGAGGTTTTAATGAATGAGATTTCAAAAATTAGAGATGTTAATGCTTCACATGATTTGAAAAATAGATCTTCTCTTGCTTGTAGTTTTGCTTTGCACACACGCACTTTGGATGAGCTGTTTTTAACTAAAAAGTTGTTGCAAAAATATCAAATTGCTTTTCATGCTAGTTTGATGTTTAACATGATTTCTGCTAAAAAGTTAAAACAACCTCATGATGTTTTGGATTGCTCAACATGTAATTTGAATAAGATGAAACTAAAAGATGCTTTAGGTCGTGTTGAGTATATGGAAGATGTTGTGAAAAACAATGAAGTGCTTTCTTGCTCCAAATGTCGTAAAAGCAAAGGTGCCATGGTAGATTGTGAAAATTGTGCTAATTTGGAAAAGGAGGTTTCTTATTTGAAAAATTCCTTGCTAAGATTTTCTTATGGTAAAAAGAATCTCAATATGATTTTGGATCAATCAAAGGTTAGCACAAATAACCGTGGTTTAGGTTTTGATCCTTATGCTCATAACTCTAGACATCCTCCTGTTGTGTTAGGTGTTGGTGCTAGAGGTGGTGAGATTTTAATTAAACATGATACTAATAAAACTGTGTTTAAATCTGCTGGTATCATGTCTACCATGAATGCATCTTCTTCAAAATCCAATGTTGTGCATGCAAAACCTCTTGTTTCTGCTTGTGTTGCTAAAACTTCTAGTTCTAACAATGTGTCTAAACAACGTGAGAAATATACTTGTTCTTTTTATGGAAAAGATGGACATATTGTTGGTTTTTGTTTCAGATTAGCTCATAAACAGAAAAATGAGAG